CTTGTGACAAGAATTATACTCTCAAGGATCTTACAATCCCCCAAGGTTAACGGTCCTGACTTTTTTCTCACAATCTTTTCTACCTGCTCGCCCTAATTACGGAGGGATTTTACAGGCATTCTTGAAGTGGCGCACAGTTCATTAAGCCTCGTTTGTTAATCTGCTCCAAATTGGTCTTGATAGGATCCTTGCTTTCCACTACAACTGGCTTAGGGGTGGAATTATCCCTGATGCTTGGTCCTTTCGGCAAGATCTTAGTGATTTAGTACCATGGATCAAGTGGTTCGTGGTGTTAAGACTCGGGCATCGCTCGGGCTTAAACCTGACAGAACTGCCCGATACCACTGATTTTCTGAGATTTTTGTCATTCGTACTTAGCCTTAAAGATTTGTGATGTACCCAATTTAATCATTCTGATTGAATCACTAACTCCACTGGAAATGTGTTTATGTGTATGGAAATTCTCATTTTTGTTTGTTTACATTTAACAATAATTGACTATATCAGGAATCTAGGAAACTTATTGTCTAACCAACTTTAAAACAATTAATAATCAACTACAATACGGAGGTTGCTACTAATCAAAAAAATACTTTAATTTCAACTCACTACTTTGAAGAAACTTTATGATTACAATAATTTTACAAACTACTCATTTCAATATATAAAAAAGCAATATTACAGTTCCCTGTAAGGTACACCTCACTGAATTTAATGTATCGTTTTATAACTTTAATAGAATGTATTTCTTACTTATTTAGCTTTTTTTTTTTTAAAAAAAAAAAAGGAGTTCTCCTTTTATCCTATCTAGATTTGTCTCACTACTAGATATCAAAAAAATGGAAAAGATTTCTGAACATAACACAAATCCATCTCCCTCCCCAGATTCCTCCCCCTCTTGCTGCTTGCTGGGCATTAACTGATACACACCTAGTTAATTAGCTAAAAACCTTGCCATATTGGTTAGAAACAAAGCACATCTTTTCAGGAAACTGAATTCAGCATCACTGAACATAGGAAGAAAAGGCAATTTCTTACTGAGAAAACTACATGATTCCTTCGCTGCTTTCTTTGGGGCAGTCCAAAATGGAACTTCAATCATCAGGCTCTTACAGGCGACTTGCTCCTTAGCTGAAACAAAAAGGGGAGAAGCATCAGAAATTTTAGGCAAATTATCTCTCCTTGAGCTTCTAAAAACATGCCTAAATCAAGCCCACGTCAGCAGTGGCCTCTGGTGGCTAATGATTTCAGTGGTGTAGAAGGTTGTCTGTACAGTGCCCTGGTGTTTTCTTTTTCCTTGATCTCCAGGCTTGTCTCATCTTTCAACATACAACCACGTGTAATTCTGGGAATGGTGAACTCAGTATTCCAGGTGTAACTGTTTTTTTTTTTTTTTCCTCGTTTGAATATTCCTAACACTAATTTGGGGGAGAAAGAGAAAAAAAGATTAGTGTGGCATTAAGGTGGACACAACTCTAAAAGCTTCTTCGGGAAATTTCAAAACAGTATAACTATGTGCTTACCAGCAGAAGCAACTCCTAATTTCGAGTTTAAACACTGCTGAAAGGAGCTTTTTGACATCTTCTCCTGGAGAAACACTTGGGGAATCTGAGGTTAAAGAGGGATTTCTCTATCTCCAATTGCTAAAGTTTTTGCTTGCACTGAACATTCCGCATAGGAGGGGAACCAACCTTTCCTCCCAGCACTGCCCGAATGACACAATCATTTTGCAGATTTTTTTTGCATAGGACTAAATTCTTTATTCTCCTTTCTTTTTTTCTTGTTTCAGATGTACTGACAAAGAATATGCAAGACATGCAAAGCGACTGCCTGGGCAATGTGGAAGAATAATGTGACTCATTTCCATGACACTCATTTTCCTTAAAATTGCCCATCTCAAACTGTGCTTCTTGAAGAAATCTTCTTAAGTCAACATCATTCAGATACCCACAGTATTAAATAAAACAAGAAAAAAAAAGCTTCCCACTACAAAATAAATTGTTAAAGCACTAGAGCTGCATTAGAGAAGACTCTTATTATCTCCCCAGTTCACTGGTTGAGAAAACACAGCGAGGCCCCCCTAGACCTTTTCTCTTTGAACAGCAAAGCAGTAGCTCAGCCAGTCCTCTCTGCTCCTTCCCTTTTTGCATTATTATTTGCTTTTAGAGGAAGGTAAACTAAGATGGGAAGTACACATCTAAATAAAATGTGAGATTCTTAGTATTTTATGTTAAATAACTCAACTGCATTGCAAGATGTTGGTTTATACATTATGTAAAATGTTTATTAAGAAGTAAAGTGCTCGGTTTTACAGACCAATAAATTCTTGATCATTGTAGAAGACCTGCATAATAAACAGCTTCCTAAGAAGACCAAAGACTTTACATTCTTTCCTATACAGATAATCTTACCTTAATAATAAGTGACAAGAGATATTAGAAAATCCAGAAAAAAAAACCATAATAAAAAATATTCAAAACATTTGTCAAACTGCCATGCACTTACTGCAAGGCCCTTTGTCAGCACACACGGGTACCCCATGAAAACTTAATAGCACTTCAAGATGAAGTTTGTTATCAAGTAACGACACGTTACAGAAATACACCTGAACAGAGCTATACAAGCAAACAGTTTGGTTTTCATAATACACACATACTACAAAAGAAAAAGCAGCACTCTGATTGAGTTTACATGCCAAAAGATACATTTTTAAAGGAAATGCATTTTAAAACATAGTGCTAGATTTTGTTTTTTTCCAAGGCAGTCCTGCCTCACCAACAAATAACTGCTACACCATTTGCTCTCCCAGTTCCAGCTGCCATAAACACCAGCAGCAGTTTTCCCACATGCTTGAGAAGCCACAGGCACAAAACACAGTTTCTTAGTGGCATTTCAGTTGAGTGCTAGAAAGCTCAGGCTGGCTTATCTGAACAAAGCTCCTGATCTTAACTACATGGTCTATTTAAATATTATGCTGGCATCTAGACTATTGCTGACCCTATAAGCCCAACATCCATTACATGCTACACGAGTATAATTTGTTAACAGGCATCAAAGTGTAAATTGTGACTCATGGTACCTACCAATATCTGGGATATGAATGCTAAGACAAGATTTTGTAAATTCATTTTGGCTATATTTGCTATTTTCCTGGCACACCAGGGGGCCCTGCATAGACCTAGTAATCTTCTATGTTTAAATCAGAAATGCTAGTTTAACAAAGCCAAGCTTTGGCCAAAGAGGCTTCTGGAGCCCCAAAATTTCTGTCAAGGCAGAAGACAGCTTAGTCTGAGTGCCTCTCATTTCACACACACCCCTAACTATTGCGTTGCTGGCTGCTCTGTGGTAGCAATGGGCCATTTTGTAAAAGTCTTTGAATTTTATCCTAATGCAGGATAGAGAAAAGAGGGAGGAGGGGGAAGAAAAACCTTTCCAAGAATCAGGGTTTGTTTTCTTGTTTGTCTCTGTTCTTGATCCACAGCCTACTAAGAGTCCAGTGTCCGCATCACACTTTCTTCTGCTCCATCTGGCGTTTAGAAGGTTTCTGAAAATTTGGGTCTTGCTAACTAGGAAAAAGCATTATGAAATCTATTCAATTTTATCAATTTCAAGAGCTCTAATTAGAAGGAAAGTATTCTGAGTTACCCTAGACACAGGCAATGCTGTTGTAAGACCATGGGCAACGTTGCCCAAGTAACCCCACCACAAGAGTAAGGCATGTTAACCTCTGGAAACAATTGCTGTGCTGAGCTAAGAGCACCAATATAAAATACAACTGCTAATACTAAACATGGGCAATTCTCTCTGTGTTTTCTACTAAAGTGTGTATTTGATGATGTAGCTTTCAATTTTTCTTTAAACCACTGGCAAATATTTAACACAAGACTGCTATCTTCAAAGAAAAACACAATTGAGAACCTATCCCCCAAGCCAATCTGCCACTATCAAAACACGCTGCTACACTGAACTATAAACACTATGTCTTGATGCTTTCTGTAAAAATTATATGTGTTTTCAGGGTTACATCTCCCTACAAACACAAAAGATCTTCTGCAGTCTCAGAAAACACAGCACGTGAAATACTAAAACAAAATATCAGTGGTTACACTAAAAACACCTTGCCAAAGTGAATCAGTGTTGCACCCCAGGAAAAAAAGCATACGTAGAAATATATCTAATAATGTCACAAGCACATTTGTTCAAAGTAAACACAAGCTAAATATGCCAGAAAAATTATTAGTACTTGACAGAAAATATTTCAATATATTTTCCCAACTGTCAGCAACTTTTCCCTGTCCCTCTCCCTTCAAACTGAAGGAAGGCGTTTTTCAACCACACGTGCTTTTAAGGAATATATTTTCCGCAAAATGATTGTATTTATCTAATAAAATGTGAAATATTAATTCCAGGCATACTTAGATCATGAAAACACGGCATTAAAAAATAGGCATGGTGCAACAGAGTTGACAGTGATAACATTAGTTGGGCAAAGAGACTATTCTTGAACGTTACTTTTAAAAGACTAATGAAATAAAGAATATGTACCAAGTGAAGAATATGTACCAGAAAAGTATCAGGTGTGCCCTTCTATTTTAGAGTTGAATTTTCCAGCGGAAGCATGAAACTCGTGTTCCTTCCCTGGAGTGCTCTGAACATGGTAAGTACCTGTAAATTCTGCCTATAGTTTGGTGCCCTCAGGAAATTGTTCCCTGAAGCCTATGTAGAGAAACATAATTCTGTGCAGAGAGAGTTTCAAACACCCCTAGTTTCCACTCCTTCCATTCTCCATGTTCATTTCCAAGGCTAACCAATCTCACCTATGGCAACTTTAACCTGAGATATGGCTTACGGAGCTTTGAAAATTGCTGACAAAGAAAATACGAATTTTTACCCATCACTGACGTTTTCCTTTAATAGTTAGATGAGGGTGATCACCTCACCCTGGGCAACAGCTAACTAGTGTATTTGCTGGCTTAATACTGACCTGGAGCACACAGAATAAACTACAAGATTCATCTTACGCATGGATGCTATTCCCTCCGTTTCCCCCGCCTCCATCAATACCATCTGACTGGGAGGAAGACGGCCGGGAGCTCCTCGAACGAGGCTGCCCGTTGAGTCCAAGTGGCGTTCCCAAACGATGGCTCATTTGGGAGGCTGTATCATCCGATTCCCAGCGCTCCAGCTCCTCTCGTACGAGCCGCTCCATTTGTTCCCTGTGGATTTCATTGTCTCGACCCAGTCTTTCATCCTATACAGGGAGGAGATGCAAGCTAGAAAGGCAGTTTCCAAACCTCTGACTAATCAAAGTATCTTATAAGTATGGAAACCCCTAATATCTCTCAGACTTTTCCACACGCTGCTGCAGAATCACAAATAGTGAGATACACCCTATCTGTGACAGGCCAGCTGACAGTCCAACCTAGGCATGTCACCTTATTCACCCTTGTCTGCCCTATGCTTGCTGTCCTTGCCCCATCAGAAGACTGATTGTCTGCTATAACAACTCCTCTCACTTACGGCCTCTTCCCAAAGGGTCCTCAAGGAAAGAGATGTGGGAAGGGAAGTAAAAGAGGACAGATAACTCTGGTGACAGAAGAAACCCACTCCTACCTTGTCACATACAACCCTGGAAGCAATTCCAGAAAAGACAAGAGCTTAATTGTGAGTACATGCAAGAAGTTCTACATCAACTGGGAAGAGCCCACAGTGTACAGCTCTCTCGCATGAGCTCTCTTGGATCACACTTCTCCATTAACACAAAGGAGAAACTGCGTAGCCAAAGCACCCACCTCCTCCTGACCACAGCTCCACTCGATCCTTCCAAGCAAAGCAGCAGCAAAGCACTAACTATAGGCACGCCAGGCAGCTCGTTGCCAGCAAGTGATGAGTCAACAGCATATGGGTTTCTTACCTCCGTCACTCCATCCAAAAGTCTCCCCAACACATCTCTCCTTTTCAGTTTGGCTCTCTCCATTGCTTCAAGCTTTACGATAACAGCATCGATCTTGGAGACGATGCTGCCTATGGAATGCTCCATGCGATCGACCCGCCTCATGAGCCTGAGAACGAGCACAAGCTTCACTGTTTCTGACACTGCGAAGTCAACGTCACTCTAGTGCGTTAAGGCCGAGAAAAGGCATGGGGGTGAGATGGCATTTTGACTCGGGCCTCTGACTTGACAAAATGACTTCTACTGGCCAGGAAGGGAAAAGGTAAGCAAGAACAAGAAAAGAACACTGGGACAAAGACAGAATGAAAAGTGCATGTGCTATTCTGTTTCCTCTGATTTGGGAGCCTCTCCAGAAGTTATTGGTTCTCCTTACCACTCTTCGTCATTCAGTATAATTATGGAGATTTCAAGTATGGATATCTACCACTTTAGCCAAAACACTCAATCATGAGTAATACCAATCAATTAAGAGCAGCAAGTGAAGTTCTCGCTGAACGTACAGTAAACTCAAGATCTTACTGATGAAAAAAGCAAAACAGTCTTCTGCCATTACTGCAACCCAACCATCTTCTCTGTCTTCTCAATGACTAGGTTTTAAAATCAGCAGACTTTTTGATTTCCTTACTGATTCTTTAGTTGAGCTTTTCTAGAGCATTTGAAATTTGGGTAGTAATCTGACAGCTGTTAAAAACAGCAACCCGAGAATCTTAAAAATGTACATGTGCCTTTTCGAATAATTTGACAAATATTCAGAGTTCTAGGAGAGACTTCTAAACATCTGAAAGAAAAAGAGAACAGAAAAACCCACCATACAAATACACTCACCAACAAGGTAAAACTTACACTTGAAACTCTTCGTAGGAAACCCCGCTGGAGCTGCTGCCCCTCCTCCTAGAACTGTGTCCACTGTCTTCATCCTCATCCTCCTCAGAGTCGTCCAAGCTCCGGGGAAAGCTGCGGCTGCTCAGAGGACGTGGCAGAGAGCTCCTATCCAGATCGAGATCCTCCTTCATGAAAATATAAGCCACAGACAGGCAAGATATAAAAGACTCATCCGTACAGAGGGCACAGAGGGTACCAAGGCTGAAGACATCATGGTCTCCTCCATGGTCTCCTCTTGCCTTTTTGCTCGGCTGGGGCTGAGAAAAGATATGAACTGGAGCAAGCAAACCAGCAGGGAGAACAGACGGGCAATGGGGCGGCTGGTACCCCATGCCTCATGGTGAGCTCACCCTCTCTTTCTCCAGGTCATCTCTCATCTGCTGATGTTCGTGCTCTGTCAATTCCTGGTCCCCATCCTGGTCATATTTGGTAAATATCGCTTCAATCTCTGCATCAGTGTGACCCTTTCTGAAAAGGCCATAAATATAGATCCCTTACTACTTCCAGTTTTTCAGCTGCTGAACAAACTTCAAGTATTAGAAAAACAATTCAGATTACATTTCATCCTCAAGCAAAAGAGGCAACTGAATGCACGACTGCCTATAAATTCTCACCACTGTGAATTCAAAACACTGACTGCAAGAAAAAGACCAGCCCTCACCTCTACTTTATCCTCCCTTCTTTTCTTTAGTTTTTCTTAACAGCATCGCTTTCTTCCGGACTGCACCCTGCTCCTTCCCAACACCCTCAATGTTTGCCTATAAACATCTCTTTGCTTACATGAGCCTCCCATCAAACACAAGAAAAGCAAATGCAGAAACAAAAAGCACTCCTCTGCATTGGCTTCACAGCCATTAGCATATACTTTTGCCCCACTAAAGAGGCCAGAGACACTTGAACCAAAGACTGCATCACAAGTCTCTGGAGGCACTATTCAAGATGAATACCAGCTCCCTTACCCTTTCAGGTCTTGTCGGAGTTCATCAAAATTTAATTTCCCACCACCTTGTCTCAGGCTTTCTGAGATGTCATCAACAGTAGTCTTCTTCAGTTTGAGTTTGATCATGGCTTTGTTGTAGCCCTGAAAGATAAAGTGAAACTCTAATGTTTTATTTTCATGAAATTTTGAACTTTATTTCTAATGACTGAAAGTTTTTTTTAAGAATAAAAAAACTAGTGCACACTTCCATTCAGTGTGTTCCAGAAGTTCTGCAAGAAACCACCTTTTCCTCCAGTTTATTTCAGTATTTAAATGAACAATGCAAATACCCTGGCAGCTAAAGTTAAGGTTTTTATTAGCCAATTTGCATTACTAATCAGTAGAAAAATGATGGTTGGTCCTACTAAGTCACTTTCGGCAGTTACTGACAGCAGTCAAGTGACAGCATTAAATACGTATTACAAGTTATTGTGGTCATTTTGCATATCTCCGATATTTCAGTTTGAGAAATGACTTTTTAATAAACTGATTTTAATTAAAGACTGGTTATTAAAACAGTTTAAGTTCTAAACATTGAATTACTGGTGATTTAGGTACTTCTGCACGTGGTACAGCACTGTACCCACGCCAGCAGGTGCACATCTGGTTCCTAAACTGGGAATCGGGTCAAGTTCTTCACTGTATTAGACAATCTTATGGGTAGCTGCCCTTGGAAGATCTCAGAGCAAGACTTGACTCATCTTGTTGCACAGAATGAGGTATGACTGAAATAAGAACTCGGAATTCCATTAGTCAGTGTTGGTGCAGTTTCACCAGTTTGGTATTTCAGCATCAACCTGGATAGGAATATTCTGTCCTGTATTCAGTAGGTTGATCCTTTGGTGCAAAGCAAAGTTGCAATGCAAACTTTTCATGCTGTTAATCTGTGTTCAGCTCTGAATGTTATGGACTCATTTGGCAGCATTTATGGAGCATTCTATGGAGTAAGTTCGGATGTGAGGAACGAGACAAAGGAAGCATGACTTTCACCTTTCTGATAAGGTCAGACAGTTCCATTTCTGCCTTCTGGTGTGCCATATCTGATTTGACTTCGGAATATGCATCGTTGATAATGGCCAAAAACATGTTCTATTCATAAGAGAAATAAACAGTTCACTTAAAGAAAAAAAATACATATATTTATCACCATAATTCTGAGTCCCACTACTCCCATGACGTTCATGAAGAGACCTGCACACACTTTTGCTTCTTAGAGAGGGCCAGGAGAAGATAGTGGTGTTTTTAGTTAGCAGTAACATCAAACAACAGAGATATTGAAAACATGAGGGCCTGCAGTACCAAAACTTTTCAAGACTACATGAACGTAACTGGGAGATTACACCCCAAAGAAAGTTCATGTTCACACAGCAGCTGCAACAAACTGTTCTACCTGTGAGGCCCAACTATTTCTATTTTGCAAGTGTGACCTCATCCAAGTAACACACCTGCATTATCCACAGAAATACCCGAGGATGCATGTTAATTATTTGTTCTGTAGTAACCAGCACACACACAAGATGCTTATCTGCCTACAGATCTGCTTGAGGTTCAGACTAGAGATGAAGAAAACAGATGAAAATAGGCTACTTGGCATCAGTGCCACAAATTCTGGCAGGTGCTTGCTTGTTCAGACAGAAAGAGGAAAAGAAATGAGCCTTACTGCTGCTGTTCCCAGTGTTTAATTCCTAGGCCTATACTGTCATTCCCAGGAGCGTCCAGCAAGTCAGAGAGGAATTAGTTGAGGTACTACCATATCTAACGCACCCTTCTGTAGAAAGACTGTGTTAGTAGTGATTCACTATGAATTAAATATATATATTTATATGTATATGTATATTTATCTCCTTCTGGAAAACAAATCTGAACAGAAAAAAAAAAAAGAGATAACTTTATTAGCATCCATTATTTTGCTTTCAGCCACCCATGAGTGAATGCTGAGGACACTCCTTTCTGCCTGTCTTCTCTAGCTTTGTTTCAGCTATGTCTCAGATGGGTTTTAAGGAACCCACACCAACGTTTCAATCTGCACAGGTTTACAAGGACACAGCCTGTAGTGAGTATTTCAGAAAATCTGTTGTGCCTGTACAATCTAATTAGCAGTCTCCTGCTGCCTATCAGAAAGAAATACCTACACAAACACACAAATCTATTTTTATTTTTATTTCCTTTCACTAATCACTAGCCTCCACTTCTCTGGATTTTTTAAGTGATTCAGGGCAAGTTTAGAACTTGAAAACATGAAAAAAATGAAAATATGAATTCAATTCCAGTATTAATAGAGGACACGCAAAAACTGCAGGTACCCAGGTACCAAAAAAAAAAAAAAAAAAAAAGAGAGATGCAAAAGTGGTAATTTGCCTAAAACTAATGTCCCGCCCACATAAACAAAATAAACAAAGATGTACATACCAAAAGAATGAAGAACATAAAGAACACAAATGTAGTGAAATAAATTGGTCCCAAAATTCGATTAGCTTCTTCAACCTCTGTGAAGTTAAAGTCTCCCAAAATGATGCGGAACTGAGTAAATCTTAAAAAACAAAATACATCCAGAAGTTGAGAAAAATGCGTTTGGAGTTGTGCAGTTTTCAGACTGTTTTAGTTTTAACGGTCTGGCTGATGGGCAGCAGAGAGGTTTGCACTATTTTCATACTGATCAGGCATTGTGATTATTTTCTCTTTTTAGCCTGTCTTTGGAAACAGTTCTTAAACAAATGATTTATAAGAAGCCTCTCCAGAATTCATTGCTACTGAGCCATAGCAACAGTGAGATCCCTGGAGCTTATCTGTTTAGAAAATTGTTACAGGATTTGTTTAGTCTCTCAATGAAGCAGCCAAATCCATTTATCAACGCCCTGAGATTTTTTTTTTGTATTTATTACTGTACTTACATGCAGTCCTGGAAAGTGCTAAAGTCATCAATTTGAGCGCCAAAGACGAGATAAGCCAACTGAGCATATGCTAAAAAAATAATAAAAAACATAATAGCAAAGCCAATGACATCTTTGACACAGCGAGACATGGTAGTGGACAACTGACTCATCGTTCTGTTGAAGTTCACAAATTTGAAAAGCTGTTAAAAGAAAAAAAAAAAAAAGGAAAGAAAAAGAGCAACTGTGAAAAGAAGGAAGACAACTATCTATTACAACAGCTTTGCACATGAAGTATCTTTCTGAATTTGATTGGAAACAACAAGTCAGTCAATCTATGTCTAGAAATATCACTTCCCAAATTCGCTGAGGCTTGTCATGGGAAGAAAATTCTGTCCATTCTCTTTATTACATAGCAATGTTACTCATATGCTACAAAAAGGCTATTTATTTATCTGAAGGGCAAAAGGAATTTCAAATTACATTAATTACATTATGTATGTACATCACATATCTGTAATTTATGTAATTGTAATATTTTGAATACATAAAACGTGCACAGTTAAACCAGGCTGGGCAAACACAGCATCTAGTAAGAAGTACTGACTTAACAACTCCATAATAATAAAGCTATTTCTTCATATATCTGCAATGACAAAGCACTACTGTTGATTCTATTTTCTAGATTTGAACAAAGACCATCCAAATCAGTGACAAAATAACCTCGTTTTTCATGTGCTCTGCTCTGACTTGCTCCCATAGCCAATTTTACAAGGAATGTGATAAACTCATGGAAATAAACACACGAAATTCAAAACAATTCAAAAGTTTCCATTCTAATGCGAGAGTAAGGATATATGCCTTGGAGTTACCTTAATCCAGACAAAAAACACAGTGACTGCAGCAATATTGTTGAACTGTATTTGCCAGTATGCCAAAGGTTCAAAATTTGGGAATGAGTTTTGCTCTTCCAGCAGCTTTTTCAGGAGCATATCTACAGTTGCTGTCCTATAGATGTTAATTCCTATAGCTACCACGGAGAGCTGTGTTAAAAAAAAAAAAAAAACAAAAAAACACAAACACAAGACAGGAGATTTACAAGTACAGTTTTGAAGCAACTGGTTTTAGCCAGGTATGTAAGACAGATAAATACATAAATATGATACAGGACAGTTCTGACATTTGCTAGAACTCTACAATTACGAGACACTACTCTTCAAACTTGCTATTAACTAGTCAGTATTTTAACATCAAATAAAATTTGTTAGCTGTTCTTTGCAAGTATGTTCAGAACTATGCCCCATGTCTCCAAATGCCAGCTACTTTATCAATGCCTGCTGCAATGGCTTATGTCACATACACAGAAAGAAAACATGTTGGGGGTTTGCTTATCTCCCATATAGACACTGCCTAGGAAACTAACTGGGAAAAAGTATACCGAACAAATACCGATAACATTTCATTTTCAAAAGGATAGACTGAACTTGCCCTACTCAAACTAAACAGTTCAATAGCCTTTAAGTATCCTCCCTGAAGTAATGACAAAAGGACGAACTAGGTGATGGGCCTATCATTTAAACCCACAATTTTATCTCTATTATAAACATTACCTACCACAATGATCAGGATATCAAGACAATTCCAGACACTCCTGAAGTAGTGCAGTTTATGAATGTGAATTTCTAAGATCTCTTCCACAATATAATAAAGAATAAAAACACAAAATGCCATTTCACAGGCTGCTAAGAAAAAATCAAAAGTGGAGATGTAGTGAATCAACTTCACTGGCTGAAACTGCCAAGATGTGACAAGGCCTCCAGTTGCCGGAAACTCCACTAACAACCTGTTAAAAACAAAAACAGAAAACCATTTCATTGAAAAAATGTCCTTGAAATGCACTACTGAACACACTTAAGACACTTTTTTTTTGATTTTGGAGACAAGAAAAAGCCCATATATGATTCAAGTTAGACATTATGCAAAACAGAGTGCAAACTCACATCTTGCTCACTTAGAATTTGACAAAATCTAAGACATTTCAAGAACACTGAGAAAACAAAAGAAAGATCTGTCTGCACTTCCATCTCTCACATGCTATCTAAATGAAAGATTGACATTGCTACCTAGTGATCCAGGTCAATAGAGAAGTCACCTGCAAATGCTTGGGGCATCAGGAGAACCTCAACTGCCTCCAGATGGCAAGTGCAGCTACTATGTGGAGTCTCACCCCTTTGGCAAGGAAACCTGCCACAAAGCACCACCAGAAACACACCAGTGAGAAGACAGAAAGGAAAAAGTGCTATCCAGATCAGAGAAGATATAGTTCTACTCCCAGGGACATCCAAAACAGAGTGTAAAAGTCATGTGCAAGGCACTGAACTAGTTTGGCACAAGTTCTGCTTTAAGTAACATATACACTTACCTATGCCCTCAAAACAAAGACTGTGCTGTTGCACACTGTCAATGGTTTGGCACGTACCTAACAACACAAAACAGGTTGATGTTCGCATTGTATACGGAGAAATCAATGAAAGCTGCTCTTGTCCCCCTGTCCAGCCAGAGGTTCTTCTTAAGGCTAGCAATCTGCACAGCCGTCACTTCTCTGGTCCTTGAGAGGTCTTGGTAATAACCAGCTCCACTGTACGTTGCAATTAAGCCCCAGTGGCTGCTCCCGTTCAAATCCTTCTCAGTGGTATATGTCCAACTAATGGAGTAGTGAGACACAGCAAATTAGTCTTCCTGCTTTCTACTTATCATTAACCATGCCCCCGCCCTCAAACCGACATTTAGCACATGGTAATTACATCTTTCTGAAACAAAAATTCCATATATCCAGGGCAGGGAAATGCACACCAGCTTATGTATCTACAGGAGTACTACATACGCTGTTCCATTTCGAAGGCCAAAAGGAGCAGTGTCTTCATTAGCTACTGAATAGACATCATAGCAGTCTTTGATTTCATCCTTTAAGTCTTCAGGTATCGAACAGGAGCCATTTCTCACTTTCAGCTGCCGAATGCGAGGCACCCCTAGGAGCAGGTTCTCATAATAAATGAAGCTCTTGTTTTCAGCCATGGTCTTGTTGTTATACCACACCTCCCAGTAAAGACCATCCAGCAATGGTCCTTCGGTGTACTGGAAAGTAAGAGATAATTCGAGTTGTGTGTTGCCAGCACTGTTTCCACAGATCTTAATTCTGCTGAAACATGAGAATTGAAATTGGTAATTCTTCTCATGTTAAGGTGGAGTATCTGCCTTAGCATTACCCACCCTCCAAAGACATTCACTAACCTTGCCCTACACTGCCCCAACTGGCATTATCTAGATCCTAAACTTGGACGTATTAAAGGCCGGTTTTACTCTAGTGCTTTGATATTGTTCACACACACAGAGATTTTTATGGAAAAGCCCACTGTTACAAAAAAAATATTGCAAATTTAAGTTCACAGATCCAGACAGGAAACATGACAACAGTGAAACATCATTTTCTTTACACAGTACCTTCCAGAAGTCATCCATGGTGGACAAAGTTTTGAAATCAGTTTTCTCCATTTTGGATACGGGTGTTTCCAGGAAGAGCTGCGACATTACCCTGGTATAATAGTACATACTGGAACTCACTGTCCCGTAAGTCACTGCACAAGATTAGGTATAAGGTGAGAGGCAGGAGACGGTAAAAAAAAAAAAAAAATTCACAGTAAGCAGCGTTTATTTTCAAGAAGTGATTATAATATAAAATCAACAAAGAATAGATCAATCAATTCAAAACACCAAATTCTCCCTTCCCAAGTTTTAGCTATTATTAATACTTCCACAATATTATTAATACTTCTACAAAAGTGAACTTCAAGAAACACAAAGGTGGGATGTAGCACCCTAAACAGAGGAAGCCAGATCCATTTCAGCTGTCCTGTGATATCCAAGGCATCTGTACAGAGCCAGCATGGAAGATAAGAATCAGGCCCAACCTGAGCAGAAAATGATGGCCAAACAGGACATCCCAGGGCCTCAAAAATGACACTAGACACTTCAGTGGTTAGACAACTAAACTTCATTTGAGACATGCACTGCTTCTAACAGACTTTCTTCATAGAAAATAACAGCTACATATTACTTTTCATCTTCAAACAGGGCCAAATATTTGGCTTATCCACAGAGGATGAAGTGATGTACAAAGTCAAGACGTCTTGAGAGAGCTTTTGGCACAGGTGCTTTTACTGCCTGTAATTACTTAAAAAAGCCTCAAGGCTGAAACTCTGAGAAGTCAGATTCTGTGATAACTCTGAAGATGACCAGTCATGTGTAGATTGTACCGTTTTTCATCACTTTCGACACTTTGATAAAAGTGTTTATTACAAGGAACAAAAAAAAAAAGTTTTCTTTAGCAACCAAAGAACAAGAACGATCTGTAAAAAAAAATCTGCTGGGGCGCAGGCAATGTGTGACTTGACTGTGAAATATCTGGATTGTCTCTTAAATATGCTCTTTCAAAAATATATACACCCATTAAATTGTCTTGTTTCGACTATAAACATAAAAAAACCCAAGAGCTTATAAAGAAATCAAATTGCATAATGGCTTCAAGTTCCCAAGACCAGAGAAAGCTGAGGTTTGCAATCTGCTTCCCCTGTAACTCATCAGTAAACTCCTAAATTGGATGGAACTGTTGTCTCATGCGCTCATGGATATATGTAGCACCCAGAACTACAGTATTCCTATGCTTCCTATGGTATCATAGGCAACAGATGAAACAGTTAAATCACACAAATCTTCAGCCATAATTCATACCCAACAGTTTAGTGAGACTGTAGATGTGTTAAAAACATTCATTACCATGCAAACTCAGATTTGCAAATATTTCTACATAGCTAGTATTATCCTTGGTTTTCCAGCCACTAAAGAACTTGGACTTTCAATGCTCTGTACATAAACTCAGTGATACATTTGAAACCGGTGATTATGTTTAATTTTTTTGGTCCTAAATGGTTAACTCCTACTCTAACAAAACACACTTCCATTTAGTAATGTCATAATTTGCATTCTGATGCAAATTTAGTAATGTCATTTTTACATAAATCATGCTTCAACCCTAGGATCTTTTAGCAAATAACAGGCATATTATTATCCCTCTTGAAGATTCAAAAAGTATTAAGGCACAGAAAGTTTAATATTTCCAATCTCAAGCAAGAGTGATTGGAACAGTAATTCCAAGTATTTGCCTCCACGTCTACCCATTATTTTTTCTCCTCCATCACTGGAACAGCCTTATTTCTGAATTACAGATGGCACAGAGGTAGTACAGAATTGTAAGCATCAACACTGACTGGTACTTACAGACACATAAGACTACAAGAAAAATCAGGTATGTGATCAGCTCCCGCAAAACGCTTTTCAGGTACCGCTCTCTGCTAGTGTTGTTTTCTTCCATGAGTCTTGTGCTCCACAGACCTTTCAAGAAAAACAGATAAAATGATATAAATACAGTGTCTGATAATAGACATGCTAGTTACATAATTAATCAAAAAATCTCTTGCTTGGGCAGCTAGTTGTCAACTCAAACTATGTCATGTCTCCTGTAGGATCTTCTACAGATTTTGAACTGATCTAAGTTACTGTAAAAACAGCTTCTTTGGCTTGTCTCTCTTAGAGGTCCCAAGAGGCTGCTGTCACCTCACGTATATCATTTTTATTTAGTAACAGCTCAGCAGAGCTCTTGCAGAATTTGTTGAATATTTGCCAAGAATGTTGTCGTTTAAAAATCATATGGCAGGAAAATAAATCATATACACCAAGACACACTTTTGACAGCCAACCGTCAAGAAATGCAATGCAGTGAGTTTGAAAATATGCGTATGAAAGCATTCACTTTCTACCTGAAGGAAGGATGGGATGGTAAAACATAGTTTTAAAACAAGCACAGAAAACAAAAACATCACCCTCCTCTCCCCAAGAGGAGGAACATGTCCAAAAAAGAGACAGTAGGGAATCCTAGTGAGGTCTGCTACATCAATTTCTTTACCTACACACAAAGAATTATCATGGAAATGCTGGTAGTACTCTTAGTAAGCAGCTGTCATGTAGCTGCCAAACTGGGCAACTGTATTAACTAAACTATTTGGGGATGTCACCAGCTTCATGGCATTATATTTGGTAGTCTCAAGATGTCCATGTAAGAAAACTTACTGAACTTGGGTTATCCTTCCCAAGAGGTTAGCAGTGAAGAAAAAGTGGTTTGTAAAAGGAGTCACCAAAAGAAACAACAATCTGAGAATAGAAAGCAGTTAGTAACATCATACTCATTTCCTGTGTTTAATACAGGAGAGAGAAAAGCTGGGAACAGCTGCTGAACTTCAGTCCAGAACTGCTGCCTTCCAGCAACTACTCTTTATTTAAGAATAAATAAAGCAAGTCAATATAACCTTAGTTTACAGCGGTGGAAAGATGGCAGAAATATGCACACGCGTGTGGTATATGTGTGTGTGGAGTATATGTGTATATAAATTGTATTTACAACCGTGCATATGTAAATACCACTCTTGTAAATCATTGCCAAGCTTCCACCCTTTTCCTTTTCGAGTATTTTAAATGGCCAGCCCTTGAAAACATCCTTTATGTTGCCAGTGGATGGAAATGAAGTAACCTCAAAATCGCTAGGAAAAAGATCTTGGGTCCATCAAACGTACCACAGAAATTTGAAGTCAAATGGAAAAGCAACAAGGGATAGTCAAAACAGATTATGGGGCTGAGACTGAAGGGAAAGTTCAGTGCCAGCCATTGCTGCAAAGACTAAGACAGACAGATGGCAAAGCTGCCTGCTGCAGAGCTTCATTAATGAAGAGGGAGGAATAAGTGAGGTCTTCCATCTACCTGTAAGCTGAAGTGCAAGAAAAGAGTAACGTGCCAGATAATTATAAAGGTTTTTTAACTCCTGCAGTTCAAGATATGATCTAGCTGGACAGTCACCAGGGAAAGTTTTCCAGCATAAATACAGCAAATACTAAAAGTCTTTGCATTAATATTTGTCTGTTCATTCTCTTTTGTTAATTATACCTTTCACTAACCTCTATCATTAATATGTGATACCTGCTCCAAAAGAAAAAACAGCTTTGAAAAAATTCTCTTAAGATTAAGCCTGAAAACTCAGAGATAAAAGACTGCAGCTTTACAACAGGAGATGCCAAGTTCTCACCATTAGGTCATTCTAGAAGGCAGAAACACAAAAAACAAGACCATTTATACAGTCACTAGTAAAGAACTCACCAAGTCTAGCCTTTAATACAGCACGTTGCACTAGCAACATTCATAATAAAGGAAGGAAAACATTACAGCACAAAGACAAGGCTGGAAGGGCCAGTTAGCTGAGCTGGCACTAGAGCAGAGTCCCGGCTGTCAGCACATTACTCACCAAAAAGAAATGTAGAGAGCAGAAAGTTTGTAAGCTCAAATTCGGTCATATTAGAACATTATTACAAGTCAGCAAGGAATGGAAAGTTACATGTGGAAGGAAAAAATAGTAATAAAGCACCCGAGATCACACAATCGTCTTTGCATTAAATACACTTATCCAACCACTAGCTTGAAGCTTTCATTAGTGGCCACATTTCTAGAAGACACATACACATTTTATCCTTTTTGTCGTATTACACTATAGCTTAAGATGCATTAACAGTGGTGGTACACAGTGCTGGCTCTAAGTTGATATTTACTGTGAGTCACAAAAACACTTCTAGCTTTGATTCAACATTTTCAGTTCATGTCTTACATTAACTGTAGATTCATCATCCTTTTGAAGGATCTGTACACTCATTCACTTATTGAACATATCTACAGCTAATGCTTCACTCAAACACCTTACTTAAAGAATATATTCAATTCAGAAGAGAGAGGAGAAAAAAAAAAAGCAATAGCTAATAAATTCTTTCAAAAAAAATTACACTGGTTGGCATTGATGAAAACTATCATATTTGATTTCCAAATGACTACTCCCTCGTGTGTTTAATTCTGTCCAGTCAAACAGCATTTCATTAATAAAACCACGCTACTTTCCTCTGCTTATCTCCTATGGCTGCTACCAGCTTCATTCCAACAATTCTACAAAAAGCTCAACTAAAGCCTGACCTGTTTTCTTTTCAGACTACAGTATGACATGTCTTTTTGAGCTCTGTTAGATCTAGAAATAAAGTACTAAGCTTGCCATTTTCCAGCCATCAGAGCTCTTTGCTGTCACACATGAAATGTCAAAAGCGCCATCAATCTCTCTTTCCAATAATACAATCTCAGTTCAACAGTCATCTTCCAAATACTCTATTTTGATTTCAGGCTTGAAATCACCCTTTCACTACACAGTCTGCAATGATTCCACTTTCGTTACCAGGCAAGTATGGCACCCCGGGCAATAGCACCAAAGTCGCATCCAGCCATTCCTGTGCCTATGAAATTCATGGCAACAACATTCTCTATTTAAGGAACTAAGATGGGACCTGCCCACTAAGGTAACTTCAGCTGTACTTGAGTATGGACACAAAATAAAACAGGTCAGAAAAATGAGAAACCGTGGATACTAAGCACATGAATAGACCTGTTCCCAATATTCACAGCACACAAACTCAAGGTCTTTTTATTTTACAGCTGAAAGTGGCACATTAGTAGTGCACAAGGACCATCTCAGATACCAAGCAGCAGCATGGTACATGGCAATAACGGAAAGTTTCCTTTTATTTTGTCCCATTTAAAGGTAAGCATTTACGTACCTCAGGAACAGACTAAGCTAAACACATAAAGACTGGACGCAGCAATGTCAGTTGGCTTATAAGGCCTAACCATCACTGACATATTTTTCTGGACATTCAAGTCTATCGCTTTAAAGTTAGTCTTTTATTGAGCAGCCTCCCTATTAAATCTACTGCAAAGACTACAAAGCCTATTCTATAATCTCTGAAACTTGGACTTGGACTTACATCCAAGTCAAATACTACAGTGATCAAGAGGGATTTATTTTCGGAGCAATACAGCTCGTCACAGAAATCATTATAGCCAACAACTTCTGATTGTGCGTGAGAAACAAAATGAGCATATAAACAATACGCAACAAGTCCCTGCTCAAAACACTTCTCACGTGGTGACAGTCACTAACTTTGCATCACTTCATAAAATTCGCATGTTATAAGAAGAAAGCTTATTTTGTAAACAAGCCCTACTTATGCAGTTCTCAGGTGCTGATGCTGAAATTTCATGCTTCCCTTAAGAAGACAGGCTGCTCCTCACACGCGTCCCCATAACCCTACGCGCGGGGAAGTCCCCAAGCACTGTTCGCTCTGCTTTGCCGAGGGGTAGCAGAGGAGGCAGAGGGGCGCAGAGACCCTGAAAACGGAAAACGAGGGGGAGGTGGGTGCGTATACATCTGGTGGGAGCAACAAACACGTCTGAGAGCAGGAGAGGGAGGTGTATCAACAGGCAGGGGGGCACAAGGGGACAGCGCATGGATAGACAGAGGTGAGACAGGAAGGCAGGCAGGTGGAGAAAGAACAGGTGGCAAAGAGGTGGGTGGAGAAGAAAGCAAAAGCAATGATAATAAAGTTTAAACAGTTTCTAAGCGCTCCTCTCCACACAAGGCTTCGGAAGAAAGGCCAGCGAGGCACGAGGCCGCGCGGGAGCCGCGCGCGCGGACGAGGACAGGGCCGCGGCCGCCCGGGCGCCTCTCACCTCGCAGGCG